ACCACGCAGGGACACTTCAGTTCTCTTAGGAAATACTTAATTAAACTTTGTTGTTGTTTTGTGTGCCGTCAAGTCAATTCTGACTCACAGCAACCTCATGTGACAGAGCAGAACTGCCCCATAGGGTTTCCGAGGCTGTAATCTTTACGGCAGCAGATCACCAGGTCTTTTCTCCCATGGAGCCACTCGGTGAGTTCGAACCGCTAACCTTTCAGTTAGCAGTCGAGTGCTTAGCCTTTGTGCCATCAGGGCTCCTTAATTATTTAGTCTTCTATTAATGAATACAGTCCTTGAAGTCTATGTGACAGGCTTATTTATCAGGGAAATTGCCTTCTGAACCAAGGCTTGGCTTTCAGCAATTGAAAGCCCTTCGGTAGGGTCAAAATAGACCCATGATGTGCCAGATGCTGCACTCAAGCTCGTAAGTTTGGTAGCGCCCTGCCTGGGTCACCTGCAGACCACCTACATTTCTCAGACATGGGCTGACCAGGTCCTAGGAAACCAAGTCACAGAACTCCAAGAGTCCAGCATTCACCTGCAAAGCTCAAGAGATCTGACATTCCTTGGTAGTTCTGGTTTTAAAAACCTGGAATATTGACATAATGTGGTTTTTAGTGTCATAGGATGAATATGTACATGTAGTTCTTTATATACAGAATACAATTGGATTGAAAAGCCACATTGATGACTCAATGTACGGTTTCCTGACAACTTATTGTCATTCTCCTCTGGGGGGAAATGGGGACTAAAAGCTGGATACAGTTAAGGAAAAGAGGTGGATTTTTATAATCATCAAAGATGGGGTGTCGAGAGAGGTGTCAAAGGGGATTAGAAGTGGGCTGTAGATAACCAAGACTGGCGCTGTATGAGACTGGAAGACAATAAATGAATTGATTGTATTTACTTTTCATCCTGTGAGGTTTTCCGTTATAGAAAAAGGAGGGAAATACGAGGTGAAGAAGCACTTCTGTATATCCTTTCTAGGTTTTCAGATGACAGTTTTTAATAAAAATGCACCCATTTCCCAGTTACTGATTCATTCAGAACTAGTGTTGGCTATGTTTGGTAAATCCTTCTCATTTTCAGTCCAGATTCACCTATTCCCTTCTAAAAACAACATTCTACAAAGGTTCATTGAATTTCATTCAACAAATATTTATTGAGCATCTACTATGTGCCAGGCACTGGGCTCAGAATTTGAGGTACATCAGTAAACAAAATAGACCAAGATCTATTCCCTCACAAAGTTTATATTTAACTGGGCTGAAACATAAATAATAAACAAAATAGACACATTATAATAAATAGATATAGACTCTGTTAGAAGTTAGTAAGTGCAATGGAAAAAAAACAAGGGGACGTGGGGGCAGGAGTGAGTTGCAACCATACATAAGCATTTTATCCAAGAGTTGAAGGAGTCCAGGGAGTGAGCCATGAGAATATGAGGAAAGGGCATTCCAAGCGGAGGAACAGCCAATGCAAAGGCCCTGGGATGGAAACATGCCTGGGATGTTCAAGTGACAGCAAGGAGGTCAGAGTGAGTGAGGGGAGAGTATGAGGAGATAGGGTTAGGAAATAACAGAGGCAAATAATGATATTAAAGACATAGCTTTTACTCTGATATGGAAAGCCACCGGAGGGTTTTGATCAGAGAAGTGAGATGCTCTGATCTACATTTTCAAAGACTCAACTCTGAATGCTGTGTTGGAAACAGTGTAAAGGAATGCAAGGATGGGGCTAGGAGACCAAGTAGAATCTACTACAGGACTGCAGTTGAGAGGTGATGGCTTGGGCAAGGCTGGCAGCAGTGGTTGTGAGCAGTGGTTGGACTCTGGATATAATCTGGAGGTAGAGTCAACAGTCTTCTCTGATGCAATGATGAGAGAGAGGAGTCAAGGGTGACTCCAAGATTTCTGGCTTGAGCCATAGGAAGGATGAAGCCACCATTAACAGAGATAGGGGAGGCTGCCGGTGGGATGGATGGACGGGGAGGTGGATCAGCAGTTCCATTTTGGATTTTCTCATTATGCAGTGTCAAGTAGACTGAAGAGCAAGGCAGGGTTCTGGGCTGGAGATCTATGGGCATCATCGGCATAATCAATGATATTGATAGCCTTGAGAATGGCTGGGATCAGCAGAGGAATAAGCGTAATGAGAAGAGAACTGGGGACCAAGGTTGAGCCTTGGACACTCTAGCACTAAAAGTTCAGAGTGGAGAGAAGGAACTAGCAAAGGAGACTGAAGAGGAGCGACTGGTGAGGAGGAGGGAAACATAGAGCATGTGGTCTTCTGGAAGCCTGGTGATGGGCGCTCATCAAGGAAGCAAGCAGGACCAGCTGTGTCCGATGCTGTCAGAGGTCAAGTAAGTTGAAAACCGACCACTATGTCCAGCCATATGGGGTCACTGTGACATGATTAAGTGCCGCCTAGGTGGAGTGGACAGTGCCAACTCTGATTAGACAGCATTTAAGAAAGAATTGTTGTTGTTAGTTGCCGTCGAGTTGATTTGAGTTTGTTAATGATGGTGAAATATTTTGGAAAAGGACAGTGATAATGGTGGCACAACATTGTAATCTAAGCCACTGAATTGTAAATATGGAGTTTGTTGTACTGGAGTATGTTTTGGTGTGCATATTTTCACCTCAATTTAAAAAAATCAACTCAAAAATAAGAAAAGAAAGAAAGGATAGGAAGAGAGGGATCAAAGACAACAGATAAATGAAACTCCCTTGTGGAGTTTAACACAAAGAGAGTCAAGAAATGGGGAGGTGGCTGGAGGCGGAGGGAGGTCAAGGGAAGGCTGTTGGTTTTATTAAGACGGGAAAATAGCGTGTTTGTGTGCTTATGGGAATGCTCCAGAGAGCGGGGACAAGTACAGGCACTGTGCTCTTGAGGACACAAGACGGGCTTGAAATCAAGTTCAAAGTAAAGGAGCTGCTTTATGGGAGTTTAATGGTTTCTCTATACAGTCACAGTAGAAGGGCAAATACAGGGATTCAGAGGCTCGGGTGGCCATGTGTGGTGGTGGGAGGCTGTGGAAGTGTCCAGAAATGCAGTCTGGGAGACCAATGCAGTGAGTGCCCAAGATCCCCTGGAATACTAGGAGTGAGGGAGTTAGCCAACAGCTTGGGAGGCTGGGGGGTGGGGGTGGGGGAGTGGTACAAACATACACAACAGCTTAGGTTCACATTCCATTTCTGCAACTTAC